GCATTATTGACCTTATGGTCTACAGTTTATATCTCTTGACAAGAGTGCACAGAACCGCTGTTCAAAAACATAACGTAAACGTATGGCTTTCAGCTTCATCTGCAAAAAGACTTCTACAGAAATTATTTACAACCAAGACCTTTAATTTAAATACATATATAAGCATTTATTTTTTCTACAGTTAATGCATCAGAAGTACAGTACTTCCAATGGTAGGTCCATTGTATGTGTTCATTACATGCACTGCTAGACATTGGGTTCAAAGTGTCATTTTTCCCCCAGGTGTTCTACAGATGCCCTGGTTAAATCCTCCAACAAGTACAAGAAGGATTTCTAATGTGAAACATTTAAGTATGGAACATAACCCATAGGAGTTGTTTTACTTGTATTGCTTAAGAACAGCTGCTGTGCATCTGGCCTACTTAACGGCAGATAGGGACAACCGCTAGATTGGAAGAGTGTGCAATAGCACTAAAACACACTACAGAGTGCACGCCTGGTGCTGGAGCCTGGCAGGATTTTAGAGGTGTAAGTGTGCAATAGTGTAGAAATTCAGCATTTCCACAGTGAATCTGTTCTTAAAGAGTTTACACTTGATCTGTTGGCCACCTAAGTTGAATCTGTGTTTTTAAATTTAGGTTGTGGATTGAGAAGGGTGCCTTTGTAAGGCACATTCCATCCCAAACTCTTAGAAACCTCTGACGCTGTACACTCAAAGACATCGTTTTTGCTTGATAGAAATATGCAGCTACATTAACATCATCCATGAGACATGTCTGTCATGTCTCGCATGGGAAAAAAAAGTGGTACACAGATAGAATGAAAAGTCAACAGATTTATCTGTGCCGGATGCAGGTTTGGGATAAATTGTTAGGTTGGCATATTTGGGGATTGGCATTAGGAGCTGACAGAAGAGACAAAAGAGGATGGAGTAAAATTAAATGATCTTTATTAATATTTTAAGTGAATATCTTATGAACCCAAAATAACAAAAAAAGTATTGTCTTCACCTCCCTCCAGCCTGTTGTGCCAGTCATCACCCTCAGCAGCCTGCCTCTCTGCTATGTATAAGCTAGCAGCTCTCCTGGAAGCTGGTTTAAATCTCCCTTCAGTCTTTGACCACCAGCAGATCCAGACAAAGTGGGTTCTGGCTCTTGTCCCATTTCAGTGTATATGGCTTTCTTACATAATGTATGTGGTTCCTGAAGCTTCCTATGTAACTAACATATCTTATGACATTTCTTAGAATATTTTAATACTGAGCAACTTAAAAACAAATCAGAACATTCCAATACTGTTAGAAATTAACTACAGGATTATGTACAAATCTTAGTTTAATAAAAATGATGTAAAACCTGTTTTCTACATATATAACAATATAGACCACTCTACATAGTATGAGACTTTTGACACAGGATGTACACACAAACATACTAAGCATATCATTTTTTATTAAAATTTCCAGCTTTATGAAACAATTAAGAGTGGATTCTCTCATGGTAGAAGTGACATTAATAAATTATACTTAGGAAAGCAAAAAACAATCATCAAAATTCAAAGCTGCACTCTATGGGAACTGTAAAAAATATTTCTCTGTCCACTTTTGCATCTGTCACACAGACCCTGGAGTAGGTTTCTCTATGGTGTAAGTCAAAGTAATTCAGCTTTCTGAAAAACTACCATTTCTCCAGAAATGTCAAAAAGTTAGTGAATTATACTACGCAGTTTTGACTACTCTCCAGATTTAGCATTGAAAAGACAAAACATTCATATTTGTAATATAAACAACACCTGAAGGGTTTAGACTTTCTGCAGGTAACACAGTGAGGTAAATATTGACAAAGTGATAAAAGTCATTCCAAAATATAGCTGATCGTCCTTATAAAAGCTGGAGACACTGAATTGTGGGTTGGTGAACAGCCGGAGAGCGTGGTGTTGTACACTCCAGACGGAAGTCCCTGCTCTCTGGACTGGCAGTTCACAGCCAGGCTTGGAAGCAAGGGGGGAGGTTAAGAGAACTTAGCCGCCTGCGGAGGGGGTCCCAGGAAGCCCCCTGCCTGTTTGGTGGCAGCCCTTGACGGAGCCAGACCCAGCATCTTCTGGATGTTCTGTAAAAGAAAGCAGACACCTGCAGCAAATCGACGCTACAAGGAAGACGAGTGGTCTGGGTGATGTATTTGAGCTAAAATGATACAAGTTAGGGTGGCTGCCCCAGATGACCCTTCCCTCAATGAAGTCTGCATGTTCTAGACTATTTGAACAAAGACTCAACAGGCAAGGCAGCATTGAGCTAACCGTATTTCGAATGAGAGAAGGGGGCTCCATAATAATTTAACTGTGCTCTGAAGTTAGCGCATGTTTGTTAGTGCTTGAAGGCCAAGAGGAAGCAGAGACAGGATTAACGTGATTTCCTTTTGAGAGACCAGTGATTGACTGTGTGGGGAAAAAAAAGCTTTTTCCCCTTTTCGGTACAAGGGGCTGGTCTTCCTGCCTTTCACAAACAAAGAACAGCCGGGCACAGCACTTTCCCTCTGGTCACAGGCTTTGGTCAAGTGCAGATGGATTCCTCACAACAGTTATGAAGCAAAGTAGGAAAGTTCCCTTTGTCTAAGGGGAAAATGCTAAGAACATTGACCAAGATAAGTGCATTTTCTGGGTCTGGAAACTGTTTCTGTAAAAAATCAGAAACAGATATCTTGTTTTCTCTAGGTTTCATAAAGGAATCCTTATCCCTTAATTGTAATCTGGGAAGACGTAAAACAAAAAGCATGATGTGCTTGCTTTTAGTATAACCCGCAAGTTCATACCACAATCTCCTCTATTGTATATTTGACATGACACATTCAAAAATTAACTATTGACAAAGGTTGCACTAAACTTGCAAATGATTATTAATGACTGTTTTAACATTGATATAAGGAATGGATATCAATCTGAATTCCTGAAATCTCACAGCTCTTTCTGGTTTCCATCCCTTCTGAAATCAAAGGTATGAAATGGGACCAAATGTCTGATTACCCACCAAACTCTGGGTCTCTCAGATACTAAAAGTTTAAGATTGAATGAAAACCTTTCAGTATTGGAATCTGCCACACCTGACTTCAAGACACTACAGCCCCGGAGCCAGGCCTGGACAATGAAATTCCAGGGGCACCTGGCTGCTGTGCTTACCTGCCTGATGGACATGGTGCACAGAATGTACAGGAAGATGAAGGAACAGTCAGTGTAGTCTTCACCCAGCAGGTTGCGGTGAGAGAGACCTTGGATGTAGGACAGGGGGACAAATGGCAACTTGGCTACTACTCGCCCATCAAATCTGCAAAGAAATAATTGCAGCAAATAATACCTGTGACAGCAGTATAAATGAAGGTGAAAAACTGCAACACTGTAACCAGGATATCAGTCTTTAGATTGAAATGCAGAGACAATACAAAGTAGAGGAAAGCTAGAACATGTTATTTTTGAACCAACAGGGTTTCAGCTGTCTAAAGCAATAATGAACAGAAAGGTGGAGCTGAGCAGGTGGCAGCACTCCAAGGTGGCAGGAGATTTACTCATCTCAAAGCCATTATCCATATCCAGACAAAGTGATATCTTCTTGGAAAAAATATCGGACAGAGGAAGTGGTTTAGCCCAAGGCTGCGAGACTGCAACTAAAATGGTAGCGAATGGGAATAAATCATGTTCGACTTTGATTTTTTTGTCAGGTGTGGTATCTGCAGCACAATATACTGCCCCAGCCTTTATAAAATACACAAGGGTACCAACAGATGGCCATCGCTTACAAAAAAGAAAACGGGAAGAGGTGACCTCCCATCACCCCAGAAAGGAACTTCCTTGGAAAATGAGAAGTGCCAAAGCAGGATACCCTCCTATCACACAAGCGTCTTTCGGCCTCTTTACTTTTCCTTTAAGCATGAAATGAATCTTTATCAGTTCCTTTGCAGCTGATGCATGCAAATGGAGATACCTACTTCAACTTCATTATTTTATCTACTCTTGTAATTTAAAAAGTGGCTAACTGTGTTACTTACATGGAGTTAAACATGCCCATCAGAGCGGTAAAGCAGAAGCCAATAGCAAACATGGACTTCATTCGTACCTGCAACCGAAGACAAAAGATTAATGCACCACTCATTCACAATTTTTTTAAAAGAAGAAAACATCTGAAAAGGAATAGTTTTCTAAAATATCATGGTATATTTTTCCACTACACTGCCCTAAGGCTTCCCTTTAGTTTTTTTAGGAAAACGTAGACAAATTTAGCAGTTTGGTTGCCAGTCCTACAAAAATAGCCTAAAGTGTAAAATTCTCTTTAGTTCAAGTAGCACAAAATAGGGATGACCATAGGTGACAATACCACTTGGAGCACTGAACAGTCCATGTGTTCAGAAAAGAGCGCAGGAACAAATAGCTCAACAGACAAAGGCTCTTCCGTCGAGTGCGGCTTGAATTCTCTGGCCCAGACATTCTCTGGTCGGACATTCTAGCCTGGATCGTGTCTCTTGTCTGGATTCCTCCAGCTGGCCGAGAGCTGCAGAGGGGGGTAGGGTTCAAATTTACTGGCCAGGCATAGCGTTGGTATCAGTTTCGGGACAAACCACTGATATGCTTGCAGTGATGTTAGCGAGAGACACACAGCTCTTCTTATTGGCAATAAGAAGAGCTCTGCAATCTGTCGAATGAATGAAGTCTCGAGGGGTGGGTATGGTGTTTGCCTACCCTCGGTCTCACAGGGGTTGCAGATGGGAGCCAAGACATTGAAGCAATTGGCAATTCCAAAGCAGGTGGGTATAAAATGAAGAATACAAAACTATGTATTCTTCTACCAAGATACTAGGTAAAGAGTTGGTTAATGGCCTAAAAATTGAAGCTGAACTGCATTTTTTCCAATGTTCTGAGGAAGAACACAGAGGTTTATACAGAATCATCCATGGAAAGACTGGAGAAACCACTCAGTAACAATGAGATCAGCAGAAAGCCATACCATGGACAAGTCCCTATTGTTGTTCTTCAGTTTCTCCTCTTGTCTCTCTGCAGAAACATGCCAAACAAAAAAAGTAATTACAGAAAACTAATTACACATACATACTACGTCATAACATGCGAGTCTTGAGAATTGATGCAGAGGAATGTGAAACAGGTGTGATCTAGAACGCAAGAAGGTATGATATCATTGTACCTTATGTTGTGCTTTGTTAGTTTGTTGTGTTGAAGTTACTTCCTTCCCCTCTCTCAAACTATTGGCTGAAACTTAAATGCCTTATTTTTTCCGCAAACAAAAAGATCACAGCCAACTGTGTGTTAGGAGTTGTGTCAAGAAGTACAAGACCTAGTTATACCTATTTTCTTCTTCTGTTGTCGCCCAGCAGACTCTGTGATAGTCTCCTTCTTCTTCTCCACTGCAACGACAGGGGATCAGCTAAAGTTTGATAAACGTGTTTAATACACTTTATGGAACTTCATGTCAATGTGCACACTTCCCACTGATGTGCAAAACAAGACACATTGGCGTTCACCGAAATAAGCACCTAACATGCCCCCAGACAAAGGCATCCATCTTCATCAACATAAAGGAACAACTAAAAGGAAAGAAACATTTAGTGGAACGCCACTCACACTTTTTACTCTGTTTTTCCACTTCTGCCTTCAGTCTCTTGTACTTGTCCGTCCTATAGACCAGCACCCATGTTATGCCTGCAGACGGTAAGAAATATTACACCTGAAACATTTTTAAAAAAACAATAAAAAAGGTGAAACACCAGAAGAAGGCTTCACAGCCAAAACGTTGTGTCTCTGGAACAAATGTTCCCAATAGTGTCCTAATGGAGCATCTAGTACCTTACCACTGGCAGCTTAGCACTCTCCAGGAGACGACAAGCCTGCATTTATTTTAACTCAAAACTAATCTACCTAGAGTACAGATTATTGAATTACCAGACCAGCTAAATGTTTCTCAATTCACAACAACCAAATGGCTCTAGACAAGTTAATTCCCCATCCTTCTACTGCATATCTATCTAAATTCACCCATTCACAGTCCGATCATGCCAGCCAGACATGCAGTACAGCATCGCCGACATCAAGTATAAGATTAAGAATAAGATAACAAGATAATATCATGTTTCAATTAAGAACATCTGAAACTGAGTACTGATTACCCCCGCCAGTGCTTTGAAAAGTTTCTGCACTATCTCTCTATGAACAGCCTGACATTTTGCAATAGATTTCTAATTCAGCAATGCCTCATTCTTCGTGAAGGAAAGTAATGTATTTTTTTGGTATACAACTACTGTAAATCTTACAAACTGTACCATCTGGGTGTGGCAGGATTAAATACATAGGACCATCTTCTTAGAACTTTAACTTCCTTGCCAAGACACCACCTATTTGTTTCCTATTATGAAAACAACACAAAGCACTTGGAAGTGTCACAGGTCTCTTCCAGGATGATTACTGAATGAATGAATGTCTATGCTTCTTTTTGAGATTGTTCCATATAGGGTTGTTTATTCTTTACCAAAAATAAGGTGATATGATCTAAACATTTCATGAATACAACGTATAGTCTTGAATTTCCTTCCACAAGGTCATGTATGAGGCAAATTTAACATGCAACTTGAACATACCAAATGACTTTTGTTAACGCAGAATACATATACTGCGAATATTAGAATACAAAGACTGCGCTTTGTTGCTGTCAATGTGGGAAAAATAAAAAGATAAAAATCGACAATACAGAATGAGATTCCCTCGGCTTTGTAGATTTTAACTTCAACTATGCACCACAAACATAAGACAAACGCTCATCTGTACTTTGGTATGTTTCCACTCACATTTCAGTTCTTTTTCACTGTATATAACACTCAGACAATGTTCGTAACATTGCAGTAGCAACTAAACTTCAGCAAACCACTTATTTAGTTAAGCGAATACTCCTAAATAAATCCAACGGCACCCACCTATGCAACTCACTTTGCCTTACTTTGGAGAACACAGAAATAGAATGTCCAGACACCGCGGCAGTTAGCACTTACTAAAAGACATTTGTAGTTTTTAAATGTAATGGAGTTTCTATCAGCACTGGAATGACAACAATGCACTTGGAGATGTTTCAGTACCTCCAATCGTTATCCTGAATAGCTTTGTTAGCTAGTCTGTGGTCTGACATTTTGGCCAGGTCTTAAACATTGCAACAGCTTCCGCAAATGCAGCTATAGAGGCTTGGACACTCATAATTTGATGCTGATTATGTGCTTGATAGGTCAATATTAAGGGTGTTAAAAATCAGACTCCAACTTCTACAAATCCATATCCATTTAATCTTACTTTCTAAGATAATGGGGGAAAAAATACGAATGTAAGCTTGTTTTTTAGACAGAAAACTATAGTCATCTACTAATTAGTAAGGTGAGTAGCTGTATCAGCATGCGTAGGCTGCAAAGGAACAACTGATAGGTTTATTCCATGCTGAAAAGAGAAGAAGGAAAACGCAATGTTTCGGCCGTGGAGCCTTCTTCAAGTGTGAAGAAGGCTCCACGGGCAAAACGTTGTGTTTTCTTTCTTCTCTTTTCAGCATGAAATAAACCTATCACTTGTTCCTTTGCTTACTAATTAGTCATTTTTTGTTGTGGGCATAGATTGGTTTATTGGTCATTGTTATGTCTTTCAATAAAAATAATGTGTGTAGCTATTTTTAAGGATTTAGCTACAAAAGCATTTTAGGATCATGAAGCATTAAATATTTCTGAAAACGTTGCCAATTAAAATACTAATACAAATCCTGGCATGGTTTCAAAACGGCATAAAGATTTATTAAGAGACTCCCACAAAGTCTGTCCTGGATCCCACTTTTTTCTATCTACTGTATAGTCACAATATTGCTCAGACAACAGGTAAATCTCATATCCACCTTTAATATATTTTTATCATTTTAAACTGAATTTGACCCACTTTATTCCTTTTGTGACAGATTTGTTGGTCCATTTCAATTAAACTCAGCAAGGTTTCGGAGAGATGATGAGAACGATTACAAGAGCAAATGAATGTGAAATGCATTTGACAGAAGTACTCAACTCAGATACTAAACTCTTTTCGGTTTTACCAATTCGGACCTTTTCACTGATACCGCTAGTTTATTTACTGTTTTCGATGTTTTTGTATCTGCACAAGGAAGTGCTCTTCTCACATGCCAACATTAAAACCACTTCTAAAACCACACTACTCCACAGCAATAGTTCTTCTGAGCACACAATAACTTTCGATGTGGTCCCCGTGTCCCAGATTTTCAGACGACAATGATACAGAAAATCTAGTATATTATACCGAAATACTATAAGTAAAGGCCCTTGAAAGTAAGTATTGTTGCAGCCACCAGACTAAGAAGATATCGGCAATCAAATGCTTCGGTCTGGGAATAGGTTTAACCAATCGCAAAGCTCCAAGTACCAGACTGGTCGAAATATAAACACGTTTTTAAATTTATGCTAAAAATAAACGTATCTCGGTGGTAGAACGATAATAATCTCAAACTAACATATTCAAGAAAAAGACACGACATGAAACAAAAGTTAACATGTCACAAAAATAAGGTGGGGGAGATGTAACTAAGGTGAGTTTCTGAACAAGAATTAGCCAAGTACAATAAAAATGATTTTTTTACTCACCTTCTGCCAACAGAGCAGTACAAACGGATATAAACACGATCAAAATCGTGTCAGCAAACATAGTACTCATGTTTGATAGATATGTATTGATATACTTATATCTGATTTAGATCAAATGTACTCAATATTATATTTTATGATCACCGCCTCAACCTCAGGTGACTAAAGCAGAAAGATCTGAAATTGATTCGTCAGCACTGAAAACCTACTACAGAGTCTAACCGTAAAAAAGTAGATTGGCGGGGAGAGATGTATTGTGGGATAGCATTAGACACGTAGCTGGGGTTTGCCATTTGGTCCTTTGGCTAGGTGAAGGTGTAGGAGGGTTTGAGTACAGTATCTAGTAAAATCCAAGAGAAACATACTCTATAGTAGAATTGTTTTTTGTTATTTTTACAGCTTTTATCAGGGTTTCTTTTAAGCATTACAGGATATCATATTATGTCCTTGATAGTTCTTGTCGATGTTTGGATATCTCGTTCTTTCCGTCTGAGTACTCTGCAAGTGTATAACAAAGTAAATACAAAACGCCCCGAATAAATAAAAGCTTGGAAGGATATCAAAGTGAAAAGTAATGGGAAACTCTGCTCTAATTTGAGAAACCATCCAAAAATCCTTCTGGGCTTTACTGTGGCATTTGAAAAATTATACCACTGGAAATGTTATCAAGCACAAAGAAGTCAGTGGAAGCATTAAACTAGTTTCTTTACAAAGCTATAGATAACTATACTCCTAACCAGTATTAAACAATGATGGATAATTAAGTTCTTTAGGTAATCTCATGATATTTAGCTATGCTACACATAAACTATATTGTGCTAAACTACATTTTTTTCACCATTAAATATTATATAATTACATATACAAAACCTGTAAGTTTGACATCATTAAGTAGAGAAAAGAAAAGGGTGGTGGCTGGAGGAGAGCGTTTGGAGAATAAATGAAGTTAGTGTTGTGTGTTACTCAGTAGTACATATTATTAATAATATTGTACAGAATGCAGGTTCTTGGGCTTCTGCCTTCGCTGCTCCTGTCCAGGTTCATCCTTTACCGCATGGTCTCAAACCTGGGTCGCCTGTGTTGCTCAACAGAGGTTTTGTCGGCTGAGCTACAGAAGACCAGTAGTAGCCACCTAATCACAGTTTGTTTTACATTTGTGGGTGATTTCTTGCACTGTAGCATCAATATAGCCATAAGAAACACAAGGTTGTCTCTCTGTGGAATGTACACCCTGTACTGTCAACAAGCGCCATTCTCTGACAGAGTGAATAATAACCAATTCCTTTAATTTATATAGTGCTTTTGATCTCAAAGCATCTCACAGCAATTTACAAACAGACTTACACAAACAGAACCAACACGTAGCATATTAGGTGGAGAAATTACTCCAGCAATTGAGTTAAATGAACACTTCTGGGAGGCCATTTTGTGCAAATATTATCACCCCATGTTTACTACAACTGCCATGGAATCTTTAACAACTAAATAGTCATTACCTTAGGTTAGTTCTCCTTGGAATGATGACAGCTGCTTCAACACTGGAGCATTGTTTTCAAAAATTGTGCTGTGATGCCTCTGCTGTTGAATTGAACCCTGAGGTTCTACATGGAGTTGGTATGTTTTCACATGGATTTCCTCTGGGTGCTCTGGTTTCCTCCCAGAATCCAAAAACATACTAATATTTTTTTCTGGACAAATTGATGTCTGTGCGTGCCTGGCATTCCATTCTAGTTGCATCCCACCTTGTGCCCGTTGCTTACTGGGCTAGGGTCCGGCTCTCCAGCGACCCTGAATTGGATGATGGATGAATGGATATTCCACAGTGCCACCTCCTGGTCCACCTACACTGCTAACTGTTCTGGCCAGATCCAGTCTTGCTTGGCTTCTAAGATCTGACAGGATTAGGCAACAAAGTGATAACACTGATCTTGAGCCCAAGGAAAAATTGAAGATATTGTAGTAAACAGACAACAAGAAAATCTGTGATTTTGTTAGATGCTAAAGCTTCTACATACAGCATTTATAATAATAATAATAATAACTTTATTTTATATAGCGCCTTTAAAGGTGGCTTCTCAAAGCGCTTTACAGGATGACAATAACAATAAATAAGAAGAATACAACAATACATAAGAAGAATACTAAGGATAAGACACCATTACAATATATAGAGGAGACTGCGGATGTTTGTACTAAGAAGAGCAGAGGGGTGAAGAATGGAACCAGTTAAGTAAGCTTTTCTGAAGAAGAGGGTTTTGAGTCTGGATTTGAAGGAGGTTAGAGAAGGTGACTCTCTGATATCCTTGGGCAAAGAGTTCCAGAGCTTGGGGCCATAACAGGAGAAGGCCCTGTCACCCATACAATGTAGACGGGCTTGGGGGACAGTAAGGAGAGCAGAATTAGAAGAGCGAAGGTTGTGAGTTGGGGAGTAGGGCAATAATAGTTCAGACAGGTACTGAGGTGCCAAGCCACCTTATAGGTGAGCATGAGGATTTTAAAGGCTACACAGAATCTGACGGAAGCCAGTGCAAGGACTCCACGACAGGAGTAATGTGAACACTTGCACTAGACCTGGTCAGGATTCTGGCTGCTGAATTTTGGACATACTGCAGTTTGTTCAGAGTAGATTTAGATACCCCAGCAAGTAGAGCATTACAGTAGTCAATTCGAGAGAATACAAATGTGTTGATCAGCTTTTCAGCCACAGTTAATGATAGCATAGGGCGTAGTCTAGTGATATTTCTAAGGTGAAAAAAAGATGTTTTGACAGTATGCTGCACATATGGGTCGAATGTTAAGCCAGAATCGAATATAACCCCAAGGTTTTTCTATTTTGATTGAAGCTCAAGTACAGAGCCATCTACAGAAAGGGTTACAGGACTGGCTTTACGAAGTTGATGGGGGATACAAATAAGCATGACTCAAGTCTTGTCGCAGTTAAGATGAAGGAAGTTTTGAGTCATCCAAATTTGTATGTCAGAGGTGCAATTAGATAGAACAGAGACAGCCACATCAGTGTCAGGTTTGGTATGGATGTATATTTGAGTATTGTCAGCTTAAAAATGAAAGCTGAGGATTGAAATTTGAAATTTGCATGGATATGTGGAAGGCTTAGTACTTATTCAGTTTATGATTAAGATGCAATTATGATATTTACATTATTTTGAATTACAAATATGTATTACAAACATATAACTCCATTATGGAACATTAGAGCACCATACACTGTATCAAACATAAGAGATTATTACAGTGAATCTCCATTTCATATTCTATGTAACTTAAAATGCACATAAGAGTCAGTCTTTGTGCTTTAGAGTGGTTGCATTACAAGTACTGCATTCTAATTTTATGTTGTTCTAATGTTTTCAATAAATGGAACATGTACTGATACAACCTGGAGTGAATAATCTTGGAAAAAATATCCACTATTTATAAACCCTTTGTTAATAACTTATCTGTGTGCTGTACAGCACAATGATATGACATTAGTTATCTAATTCTTTAGTGTCAGTTCACAACTGGAAAATGTAATCTGAGTCCATTTACTTAAAATATTTATTTTGTATCTAGATGCTAAAGATGATGAAGATAAATATAGATTAGATAACTGTGGGAGAATTAAAGAGGTCTGTTGTCTGAAGGACCCACACATATTGGAGAAAACATTTATGAACGTGTTTCACAATCTGTCAGTCTTACAGCTCAAGTGTTTTTTTTGTTTTATTGCAGTTATGATTCAGATGAGAAAGTTCTGGTAGTTTCCCTGGCTGCCCATTTCTGACTCTCTGGGCTCAGCATCTCTGTTCTGAGACATTCAGCTGTCTGAGGATTCAGTGTACGACAGGACAAGCCAGAGCTGTTCAGTCTGAGTGAGCAATGGGCAGATATAGGAAAGGCCTGGCTGCAATTTCACAGCATGGCCAATTTCTGCAGTTTTACACAGAAGAGGTGAAACAAAAGGTGTCCCATCTGTGAAAAATCACTCCATTTATTTTTGTACAACAATTACATATTTCACCCCTGATGGTATAAACCAACAGTACTTTGAATTAAACGGATTTTATGTGTTTCTGTGATTTCAATTAGTATTCCACTATCAAAAAAGCAAACATTTGCGTTTCATCATGCATTTTTATCTTCCTTTTAAATCATGGCCATTAGTGAACAATTAGGCCCAGCTGACAGACAAACCCCCGTCTAGTGTGCCTTCTCCCCTGAAGTAATTAAAGTGAGGTACACGGAGGTTTAGATTGGTTTGCTGGGTTTAGTTTGGTCCGCATAGATGCGCTTATACGCACGTCTGTGTAGGAAGTGGACTTGGAGCACATCCAGACTTCGACACAGACGCCGTGTGATTTTCATTTTGGGAAGATAGTCTGAGATCATATCCAGTATCGCACACAGGCGTTGAATTATTGGGCGAAAGAAGGTGACTCGGGAGAGGAGGAGCGTTGGGCTGAGCTAAACGCCTCTGAGTAGCTCAGCTCGCTTCAGTGCAAGCATGGCTGGCGACAGTGAGAGACAGTTGGAGGACCAAGGCGAAAACGAGCAAGTAAACCGGCAGCCTTTTCTCATCGGCGTCGCCGGGGGCACTGCCAGCGGCAAGGTTGGCATTTGATGTTTGTGTGTTTTTTAGGAAGCATTTTTTAAAATTGTCTGTTGCTGCTACACGAGCCAGGCTGGTCACGTTGCGAGAACTGCGACCGCGTGGTTCATGTGAAGTAGACTTCTCTAGTCATCAGTGTCTTTTCTCTCCAAATGGATTGTTGAGGGTATCTGAACCTGCAGCTACGCTGAATAACGTTGTCTATTTTTAATAGCTAAAGTTGACTTTTATGTTCAAAATGCAAATCATTTTCATTTAAAAGCAAGTAAATAAAATTGTACTGCTTATGTATTGTAATATACAATTATTATAAATATTATAATTTATTATATTCACTAAACGCTGCCATTTTCAGGAGTTATTTGCGTAGCTTACCAGGACTAATTCGATTGGCAATTTTTTTGTTTGTTTGATTAACAATCCTTTCCTTACCTCTTGGTTAGCTAAATTTAAGGTATACAAGAATTCGTTTAGCCTCTGATGAATGATAAGGCAAAAATATTTTGAACCAGAACCAGAATACAAGCACGTTTTTTTGTCCTTGCCCTTGAAGGAAATCTTTAAGATTACATCAAACCAACTCCAGTGCCAAGACTGCCCATACGGATGTGAAAATAAAACCATGTCAATATCGCTATCTTTTGTTTCTTTGTACTGTTATAAATTGAACGGCTCGTCATTTTGCTTTGTAAAATTTGCCCCACTGTTGGGAACCAGTATCCTATTTAAGAGAATCTGCCATATCATTTGGGTAACATTTTAAAAACTGTTTTGTACATATAGGTAGGGAAGAATAACACATGCTTGTGTGGGGGAGGTTAGCGGGAAACGGAACAATTGATGTTTTGGTCAGTAAAATCCGTCTGTGACGTGACGTATGAAAGATTGCTAGGCCCGATATCTGAAGGAAACAAAAGATCCGTCTCTGTTACTATGATTATGCTGTGTAGCTGTTTTGTATTAAATGTAGCGAAGCCGAGACGCAGTGCACTCGTCTAGCGTGTCGTATGGGTCGCACAGTACCAGCTGCCCATAATGAGGTCAGCACTCAGACTGATGATCACCACGACCAAGTTACCCGATGTGTCCGGCCGCCAGTAGTTGCTTTACCTCTTGAGTTCAAGTGGGTTATAGGCTGTAACCTGTATTTGTGTTGTGTGAGAAGAGTTGAGAGGAAGCTAACGGACGTGGTTCAGGATTTGAAAGTGTTAATGGGATCTGGTACGTGACTCTGCGTCTAGTGCTGAAACGTATTTTTCTCTTTTGCTGTGTAGTTATAATAAAAACTGGATACTGAAATCTTTGCGCTGAGATTTCCATCTTTTTAACCGCAGGTCCAGAAAAAAAAAACATTTGGGTTAATTAGGTGCGATGTGGTGGATGGGGTTGAGTTTGATATTTTATATTCGCCAGTGTGATTTTATACATTAAACAGCTTTGTTACTGTCCTTAATTTTATCTTTACCCCCCCAAAAAAAAAATAATAATCGAGATTTCATGCATCAAGAGTTCTCAACAGTTTTCTCTCATTTATTTGAATTGTTTTCAAGGTCATGGCAAATACGTTAATTGTATCGAGTGGCATAAGGCGGCAAATTTCAGTGACCAGTTAAAGCTTAATTTACATGAAACGTTCAATACCATTGAAAATTTCCTGTCCACAAGCGGTGTTAGTGCGGCGAAAATTAGTCAAACTGGGACTGAAATGAGAGAAATGTAATCCCAATGATTCCTTTTGTTTAACTTGGGCAGTCCAAACCTGACATTTTGACCATGTTTGAGCCATAGATTCATTCATGGTTCAAACTTTTTTAAAGCAGAGAATGTAAGGTAAATGGAGGAATTGGTTTCCTACATAGGGATATGGTTATGTCCACTCAAGGAAAACTTAATTTCTGCTGTATGTGATGTTAATGGACCAGTAGGTAGAGCTCTTCCCTCTTTTCCTGTTTAATACCCCAGTGTGGTGAGATGGGACCTTCAGCTGTGATGTTAAGCTGCCCGTGTGGTCATTAAAGATCTCATGGGGTTGTTTGAAAGCATATAGTTATTAACATTGGTATCCTGGCTAAATTCCACAGTGGGCCTGAACCTTAAGTTCCCCCTTCATTTGATTGGTGAAGCAATTTCTCTGTTGTCAGCCTGGTTTGCTGTATAGCAGGACTTCTGGCACATAATGGCTGCCATACGGCACCTTGATTGGTGCTGCTCTTTAGTGGTGGATGAAGTCCGTGAATGAGTGTTTCCTTTCTGCTGAGTGTGTGCCAATGGGTTGTGGTGGTAACTGCTGGGCTGAATTCTGGATAGAGGCTGCTTCTGTGTTGAGCTTGCATGTGCTCCCAGTGGCTGCTCTGGAATTCATCTGGGCACTCCAGTCCCAAGACCTACTGTCTAGTCTTACTGGGGTCTTGAAATTGTCTCCCTTATACATGTGTGAGCAAATGAATTTGTACATGCCTTGCAGTGAGCTGGCATGTCACTCAGGGTGCACCCTGTACCCTACCTTCTGAAACCATTCCAGTTCACCAGGGCTCCCTAATGATCAAATGGCTATTGAAAATAGTTGGATGATTGAGTTACTGTACTAGTAGTACTACACAGCCTAAGGCTCACCTTATACAGTGCAGTGACAGAAGTTTTGTTGTTTTGGCTCTGTACTCCAGCACATTGGATTTGAAGTGGAACAATGACAATGAGGTTAAAGTGCGGAATCTCCGCTTTAGTTTGAGGGTATTTATGTCTATATTGGGTGAACCAAATAGGAATCACAGCTCTTTTTATACACAGCCCTCACATTTTAGGGGACCAAAAGTAATTGGACACGTTAACATTAGCTGTCCGAATACTTACGGACTGCACTGTACTGTATATCTTGGCTTAAATAACTCCCCTGTCCCGTTGCAGATAAATAAAAGTACAGTTTGTATAGATTGTTTGGGGGAAAAAAACACCACAATGCACATTTGTACAAATGTACATTTGTTATCCACCCATCTGTTTTCTAACCACTTCTTCAAATTCAGGGTCAAGGGGGGGTCCAAAATCTATTTTGGCAAGCAACAAGTGCAAGGCAGGGTGCACACACAGATGCAAACGCACACACTCACACCAGGGCCAATTATCCCAGAAGCCAATTAACCTACCGGTAAGTTTTGGGACTGTGGGAGGAAACCCATGTGAACATGGGAGAACGTACAAACTCCACACGGAGCCCCGCAGGACTGGAATTTAACCCAGGGCCCCAGCGCTGCAAGACAGTGATTCTTACTACTGCTCCTTCATGCGACTTGTAAGTTTGTAATATTATGCTCATTTATATTATCTTAAACCCCCAAAGAACTTGGCCCTCACCGACTTAAATCTTCAGCAGGGGGGCTTGTGTTTGGTACAGGCAAGAACTCTCTGGCAGACAAAAGCAGGGTCATTTAAGGCAGATGGTGGACCAAAGTTTCAGTTTGGTCTTTGGTTCTAGTTATGGCTGTGTTTTTGCTTCTCAATAGTCAGCAGTGCCAAAGCTGTGTAAAAGTCTTAATTATGTCAATTATAAATGAGAAAATGGGGAGAGAAACTTTATTTATAAAAGGTTCTGCTGCACACAGGGTGGTGGAGGGACTTGGTTAGACTGTGGTGAGTTGATAGGAAGTAGAATGTAGAAAACTCGCATTAAAGGGGGTTTTACACCTTGGCCAGTTCAGTGATGATGGGGATTCTTTTGTTCCATTTCCTCTTCTTTGTGGGGTGCCTCATGGTTGGGGAGGGAGGGGAGTTCCATGTTGCCATCAGTCACAAGCACAGGGGTGAGAGATTTTGGATAAAGGCATCTTTAGGGTGCTGTGTCAGTGATGGGGTTGTTGTTCTTACTTCGCTGGTCCTATTTCTGTCTGATCGGGCTTTGTTCTGCTGAGACACGGGTTTATTTTCCACCCATTGCTTCATGCTACTCTGAGGTGTGAGGGAGAACACTACAGGACCTGAAGTGTTGCTATAGTAGGTCAACCCCCTCTTCCCCAAAGGGAAGTGATTGAGGAAGGTTCCTGGGGCAGTGTCAGAAGGGAAATTCACACTGCAGTTAGGCTGACTTTATTTCCACTGTGAAAACACCGGAATCCGTCTTATCCATTATTTTCACCCTTAGAATAAGTTAAACCAAGCCCTAAGGAGAGACGAGACTAAGTTCAGACAGTGATTCAGAACTTGAATGTGAAGTCAGTGTCCCTCATGATGTGTTATTTTTTGCCTACCTGTAATTCACAGCAACTGCAGTCTCCTTTCAAAATGTGGTTGTCACCACTGCCATGAGGAATCCTAAAATTAAGTGAATTATACTTTTTAGTAGAATTTGTTTGGTATTGTTCCAGCACCTGGGAATTTCAATTATTTTCTTGTCCACAGAACATGTGCTGCAGTAATTGGACCAAGTAGGTAGAACTGATATTGCTTCACTCAGCTGTCAAGACTTTCCAGTTATGAAGAAAGACTAGCAGGCTTTGTGCTTAGAATGTGCAGGTGAAGTTTTCTTTGGGCATTTCAAGATATCGAAACACCCTGTACACTTTTTTCTCTCTGGTGCTCAGGAAGGGTGTGTATTTCAATGTTATTTGTCTGCCGTTCGAGAGTGACCTTCAGGACTTAATGCTTTGACTACATAGTGTGCTTTCAGTGATCAGTAAAACAGAGAACTTGGCTGCACTGTGTTGTTCAGTAATTTGCTTTTAGGTCAAAAATTTTAACACTGAAATTTTGTCTGGTAAAATAAAGACTGAAATCTGTATTTAAACTTCTGAGATTGTAAGTTGGTAATATGGGAGAAAAAGTTTTGGGAGGTGAGGTGGTGATAAAACCTATAGAAACCGAAGAATTGTAAGTTGAAAATGGAAGTGACCATCTGATTGAAGCAAAGAATAAATTAGTTATAACTTAAAGGGTTCCTAGCTTCCTAACTATAACTGTTGTGTAGAGCTCTGTGTTGTTAAGGGTTGCAAAGAACATCACAGGACTTA